TTTTTAAAATAGAAAATCTTAGTGTTTAATCTGCATTCTTTTAGTTTTTTTTTTTTTTTTATATTCTTAAAAGCTTACATGAGGTGATTAAATGCAATTTAATTTTAATTAAATACAGATTATTTGTGTTAAACATTTCTTTATGTAGTTTTTTTTAAAAATTTTTAAAGGATGACTGAGTCGAAGAAAAGCTATTCCATTTTTTAAATCTATTATTATTAATTTATGATGTTTTATTTGATGATAAATAATCATTATGCCATTTCCTTAATTTCCTGGTCCTTAATTTCTAGAAAAAAAAGTCCTTAATTTTTTTTGATAACAGTCCTTTAAAGTGCTTAATTTTTGCTTTGATAAAAGAGTGGGAACCCTGCGGGTTGGGTTCGGTGAGATTCTTGCATTCTCATGTGTGACTCTGTTGCAATTTGCAAGATATTCTCAATTTCAGGCTTCATTTTCCACCCTCTGAAATCGAACCGAAAAATCTCTCAATCATTTTATGGTGGCTAATGTAATCAAGAAAAAAATTCTCTATCAGAAACAAGTTATTTTATCATAATCATGAAAAGTCTTTGATTACTAGTTTGGATTTTGTTAATATTTTTAGTGCTTAAAAAGTATTTAAAAGGTGCTTATTTTTTGTTGAAAGATTTGACTGCGCACCCTGATCTAATGAACAAGAGAACAAATCACACATAAACAACTGGAAATTTGCATAAAGAGAAAATACATACAAACCTGTTAGTCAGCTTGTCTTTACCTGTTTAATAGTAAATCGCTTGCATGCATTGTGAGGGAAAGAAAAAGTAAGATTTTTAATTCATTTTTATTGTTCAGTGTATGTTTTTAAGAAATAATTAAGCAAGTCTTACAAAAACGCAGTAAAAACTTATGCCCCCTCTTCTGTATTACTCACGTGTTTCTCTTTGTTCCAGTTGTCTTTTGCACCATGCACATAGTTTTATGAACATATTAATAAATTTTTATTTAATTTTGTCATTTGAAATGTGATCAATTAACCCAGCAATCAAACATGCAGGTCACAAGAAATAAAGCAACATACCTAAATGGAGGCTGAAACTAGACTTTTTGCTAATTAATTAAAATTTTTATCATCAGTGTCAGGTCACCTAAAGTATTGCAAATTGTTTTGTGTTCTTATACTGATAATGTCTTTCAGTACTTGGAACCTTGAGTAACACATTAAAGAACTTAGTTAAAGATGGTGATCCAAACAGTGGGAAACCATATTGTGAAGAAGGCTATGAAGATGAATATGTAGTGAGTATTCTCACTTTTCTTAAAATGATGGCTCAAGGAATTCTATTACAATTGTGTGTATTCCTTTTCATTGCAATGATTATGTGTGTATAAGTTTTTCTATGGGAGTGTCTGAACTAATAATGAATATCTATGCACATAAGTTTAAAATGTAGAGAAAATATGGAAAATACTAAAGATTAATGAAAAGAGAAGAAAAAATATTAGAATAAATTTTTTAAAAAAATTGTTTTAATCTAAATTCTACAGGGATGAATTGGTTAAGAGTCTTTTTAATATTGGATGAGCATTTTTATTCTGAAATTCACGCCTGATTAATTCGAAGGATTATGAAACAATTATAGTAAAAAAAAATGTGAACAATAGCAAATATGAGAATTTTCAAGCAATTAATAATTTTAACTTAAACAATTTAAATAATTAAAACAACAGCATACCGAGAAGTGCTTTTGTAATATATTAAAATTTTGAATTAAGCAATAGTATATTTAAATTTTGAAGTGTAGTTAACTTTAAAAAATAAATTACATTGAATTGTGGGAACACCCTTACAATGAGTGTACTACAAAAAATTCTTTAAATCAAATAATCTCCCCTCCCCCCCAAAAAAACGAGATGCAGATGATTCAAGTGTAGAAAAACAAACTTCTTTCAAAATTTAATATTTTTTGAAATCTAATAAATTAAAAATGCTTTTTCGTTCAATTTTGTAGAAGGCATCAGGCTTAAATTTGCGACTAATCACTTAAATGGTTGTCATATGTTTTTTTAAATTTGTTTTTCCTTTGCTGCTAGGACTGAATATAATTATAAATCTATTCTCTAGATTGTGATATTTTTAAAGATATTTGATATTTTCATCACATATTTATTACTTTTATTATTCAACTAAATTTTATAACCTCACATTATTTTTAAAAGCTATTTTTTTAAAGAAATATAATTTAATCTAAGTTAAAAAAAAAAGTTTACAACATGTGGCTTTTTAATGTCTTAAATGACATCGTTTTGGATCTATTGATATCGATCACCAACTCACTTACTTGCAAACTTTAACAAGGTAGAAAGCTGAGAATTGAGGAATGAAATTGAGGAATCGTAAAATGGCGTCTTAGAATGAATTAGCAACATCTAAATGGTTACATTGGTGATGTTCAATTTCAAATAATAGTGTGTTGTCAACTAGCAATTAAAAAAACGGAAAGTTATATTACAATTTCAATTTCTAATGGGATATTTTGTTCCATTTCAATGCTTTATGGAAATATTAATTGGACTTAAAAGTCCCATAAAGGTACATAAAGTTTTATATAAATTAAAAGGTACATAAAGTTTTATACAATTTCGAAAGTTTATAAATATTTTGATACGATATGAAAACTTCATTCAAATTAGGCGTGATAGTCTTAATGATGAGGATGGCATATAATTGACAGGTATTTTGCGATGCATTGTAATAGGCGTCGGTAGGGAAAATTCCTACTTGAAGTATCTAAGTCATAAATTGTAATTTCTTAGTCAAAAGTTACGTAAAACTAGTTTTGGTGCTATAATTGACAAGTTTGCTAACGAAACAAAATTGTGGGCCTGACGATTTCTTATGGTGAGCTATCGCTTGGAGGCAAAATTCAAACTTTCTAAACACAAAAGAACTAAAAATTGCTTTTCAAACAACTCTTTGGTAGATAGAATCGCATACACTTGGGCTTACAATTTCCTACAAAGGGCAAACGTCCACTCTTAAAATTCAAACTTGTTGTGTCAAATTATGACATGAGATATAGCATGAGATATGTGCAGAGATAAAAATGTAAAAAATATTTTGGTAGAAAAATGTTTTTTTTTTATATTGTATAACTCAATGTTTAATTTTTTTTTTTCTGTAACTTACAATTGATCCAGTAGAAGTCATAAGCGTCTACGATGAGAATCTTATTTGCTAAAGATTGGTTGCAAGGTTCAAACTTTTTCCTACGTCATCAAGTCAGAAAATGTTTTTTTTTTTGTGGCTTCCCTTACGAAATTTTTTTAAATAATTCGCTATCATTTTGCATCAAAATTCAAACTTGGGATTTTGATGACAAATTTAACTAAAAGTAAATTTTGCTTAAATTATTTATGATTTTTTTGCTGAGCGAAATAAGACAAAATTAGTAAAAAATTGCTGCCAGCATTTTTTATAAGGGCCACTTTTTCAAAAATTGAAAATTTAAAAGGATTAAAATAGCTATCCATATTATTTGTGCAAAACATTTCTCAAAATATAAATCTTTTGAACCAGTTATGCTAGATAAAATTTGTGTTAGTTTAGAATCGTAAAGTTTATTAGATACTAAACAAAGCTGATATTATTGGGATTATATAGCGCAATGTATTTTATTAAATTACTTTTTTTACCATCCATAAATTAATATTTGATGTGAATTTAACTTGATTTCGAAATGAATCTTTGACAACGAAATTCAGTTCCCCTGAAATACTGATCTAGTGTGAAATAAAATTGTTCAGAGTTTATTATTCAAAAATGAAAAAATTATTAAAAACGATTAAAAAAACTATGCAAAAAAAACGGAAAAAATAGTTCTTTATTCTTAAAAAAAAATTAAAAGCCGAAAATTTCAGAAAAAGCGACGATAGAAAAAGTCTATTAAAAAAATACACCCAAAAATGCGCCTGGATCAAATCGCTGTCTGGAACAATAATTTAGAGTTTAATTCTAATAAAAAATTGTTTTTAACTCTAAAAAAAAAACCTTATACACTGTAAATCTCGGTTTTTCGCATTGCCGCAAGTGGAGAAGATAAAAAAAAATAGTTGCATTCCTCATTAAAATCTTATTTAGTAATCTTGCAACATCCAAGAATAAAAGAACTCTTCGGAGACCTGGATAGCCTGGTTGGTGGAGCGTTGAGACCATGTTTAAGTGGTCGTGAGTTTGATTCCCGCTGGCGAAGACTCCTCGTGACTAGTGCACATTAACACTGTTGTGTCACAAAATCCTCCATGGTTCCATAACAAATCAAACTTCTTGGGGAACTGAATTGGAGATGGATCATTCTCTGGCTCAAGTCAAAATTATGATCTGTGGTTGGATGAATGAGTGGGTTTATCCTTTAAAAAGACTGCGACGTGTGAGTGTCTGAAGTCGCATTCTAGGCCATAGATAGAGCCATTGAACTGGTGTCTGAGGGAACAGAATTGGAGATAAATCATTCTATGGTTCAGGTCAAAATTATGATCTGTGGACGGATTTATGAGTGGATTTATCCTTTAAAATGACTGCGACGTGTATGAGTCTGAAGTTGCCGTCTAGGCTATAGATGGCTCCACTGAAAAACAAGAAACGAACCCTCTGCTTTAAAATTCGCTTAGTTTCACAAAGCAGGCTTGCTGGTATAGGCAAGTATCATCATAAACAGTAAAGACACAAGAATCCGTGGAATGAAATTTTCGGTGAAAATAGCATCTTTCTTTGGGCATACAAGAAGTCGAAATAACTGATTTTGGAGCACATGGTGCAATTTTGGCGGGAAAAGTAGCTTCAGGTGGCGAATGGCACACAATTGTTTAATATCTACATATTTAGTCACCCTATTTTCCGGTGTCGACTGATAATTAATCCCTATACTTAGAGGGCCATCTTTGGTTGACAGAGGTATGGGATATATAACAGTATTGTAAAAACATTCTTATTCGAACAAATAAATTATAGTAACCACATATTCAGTGGTAAATTTATTACTATTTTAAAAGGCTGATATTTTATTCATACCTTATTGATTACTTTGCATTTTATAGGACAGGATGTTGCCTTTATGATGGAGAGTAGTATTGTGTGATTCATGATAGCTCTGGTAAGAATTATACTCTTATGCTTCAATAAATTTTCGTACCGTTCATATGAAACGAAAGATTCCGAGAAAATTTATTCATTTATTTATGTAAAGAATTTCTCTAAATACCAATTACCCTACACGATTCATTTCTAAAATGCTTAAAAAAATTTCTGTACTTTTATTTAGTACTTAATTTTATTTAAAATTTAAGCATAGTATAAATAACTTTTTTATCATGTAAAATGTAAGGCTTAATCTTTTAAACAAGTAATAAAATTTGTGTTAGTTTAGAATCGTAAAGTTTATTGGATACTAGACAAAACTGATATTATTGGGATTAATATAGCGAGATATAATTTATTAAAAAAATTATTTTACTGTAAATTTAAATTTGATGTGAAATTAGCTTGATTTCGAAATGAATCTTTGATAATGAAGTTCAGTTCCCCAGAAATACTGCTCTAGTGTAAAATAAAATTGTTCGGAGTTTCATTATTCAAAGATGAAAAATACCTACAATCCTAACTGACATGAAACTTTTAAATGCATTATTGCAAATAAAATATGTAAGAGAAAGAAAGATGATCAGAAATCCATATTACTGTACAAACTCTACAAATTCCAGATATGCTAAAGTTTCTTGTACTCGAAAACTGTAAAACATTATTCAATCTTTTGCAAAAAACAAAATGGCGCGTCTTACGGAAAACAAATCAACGCTTATGAAAAATTTTGAAGATAAAGAGAGAAAAAACTATAATAGTTGTCCCCAAATATTAAGTGAATTAAAAGAATTGAAATTATTAAGTGGAGAGGAAAAAGTAAGAAGAATATACCTTATACCTTACTTAATTTTCATCTATATCTATTAAAAGTTTTGAACAAATTATCAGCCTTTCATGTTAGCTTAAATAATAAACTAAAAAAAACTGCAATTAAAAAAAACAAAAGTTTACATTTCTAAAATAAATGAAATGGCAGAATACAAAAAACGCAAGAAATAGAAAAAAATATGTATCAGAATAGCAAAATAATAAAGATAGCGAGGAATAAAACAAAAACATTATAAAACAGATATAAAAACGATACTAACAGTGTTTTGACGGTTATGAATGAAACAAAAGCAGGGTGGCCACCCACCTGGAAAACCTGGAATTATCAGGGAATTTTTTTATACTGGAAAAAACCTGGAAAAATCAGGGAATTTTAAAGTAGTAAAGCTGGAAATTTTTTTCTTAGATATTTTTTTAATTTCACTAATTTAAATTATTTACTAATTTTCTTAATTTAAATTATTTCATCCATTATACCCACATTTTTTAGACGGAAATGTGTCTCCAAACAGTTAAAATGTTATCAATTTAGCTATACTTTGCTTGCATCAAAATTTACTCTATTATAACCCTGTTAAACTAGAATGCCACATAAAATTCTCCCATAGTTGCTAAACAAATTTAGAAATCTTTGATATCTATGGAGACTATGCGACTGGCAATTTAGGAAACGCAAAGATTGTGGTGGATGTAGAAGAAGGGGTTAGGATATTTGCTTCTATTTTTAAATTCTGTCCGTGGGCAAACTTGAGCCATTTATGGCTCAAGTTTGTTTCGATGCTTTGGTGGTAATTTTTTTCTATTTTGACAAAATGAGTCAAAATGTTTTTGCATTTTTAATTTTTTAAAAATCTCCAAAAATTAGTTGGGTATAATTAATAATAGATTTTATATTACACATTTTCTCTGAAAGCTTTTGTACTCCCATTCAAAGAAATCTGTAAATTATTTTTTTTCACTAAACCAACAAATCAGTTTTTTTACAATTGCTAACATCAATGTTTGTCTACAAATTTTTGCATTAATGCTAATTTTTTCTATTTCATTTTTACCTTTTATGACATATTTTAATTTAAAAAAGAAAGATTTTTTTAGAACTAACTATATATTAATATTTAATTTTACTGCTTGTTGATAAATATTTGATTTTGAATTCAAAATTCAAATTGTATAGTTATCAGTAAAAAGCTGACAAAGACTAAGGAATGTATAGGAATCATAAAAAATGATGTATAAACATAAAATATAATTTTTTTTATTCATATGTGTTTAGTCGGAAGAAGGAAAACAAAACTTACGTGTTTTAGTTCTGTGCTGTACAAGATTCTTGTTGTTAAAACAAAAACAATTAACCATACTAAACTAAAAAACTGTGTGTTTAGATTGGAATTCTTTAAATGTTTTAATATCAAGTAAGGAAAAAAATCAAAAAAGTGTAAAATTTAAGGAATTTTATCTATTTTTTTTTCTTTAGAGTATAGAACAAAAAATTAGACAATTTTGCATTTGTGACATTTATTTTTGTATTTTGAATCTCTGGAAATAAAAATGCTAATTCAGAACAACATTATTTAAAAATTTGTCTTGAGATATTGGTTTAAAGAAAATGCTATCAATGAATTTTATTAAAATACTGGTAAGATAAAATACAGTATAATGTAGTATACAGTACAGCATTATATTTAAATGTAATTACAGTGACTCACAAACAAAAGTGTTCGTACACTTATGACTTTTAATGAAATAAGACTATCCATTAATTAAAATGAATATTTCAGAATGGATATTTAATAATAAAAAATGTATTCTAATCTTAACAAAACTGTATGGAATATTTTAAAAACAAAGGAAAAGTTTATTTTGAAGAAATCAGTCAGCAAAAAGTAACAAAAACTTTATCCCACAAAAGCCATTGTACACTTTCAAAAAAAAAAAAAAAAAAAAAAAAAAAAAAAAAAAAAAAAAAAAAAAAAAANAAAAAAAAAAAAAAAAAAAAAAAAAATCTGTTTTTGTAAATATTCAAATTTTTCATTAAATTAACATTTAGTAGTTTCCTTTCGCATCTACTATAACTTTTATAAGTTTGTAAATATAAACTAGTTTTTTTTTGTCGGGAGAAATTTGTTCGGAATATTTTTTAAAAAATTTTACAGAAATTTTTGCATCACTCTATTGCGAATTTATGAATTTTTCCACAAATTTTATAATTTTAATCTCTGATATGAAGTCCTCCTTTTATGCATTTTATCATGTATTGTACGGTGCATACCTCTTATGATGACAAATAATCAAATTTGGTCTATTGTTTTATTAGGACCACGAACCATTTTTAAATAATAAAATATTACGAAGTTAGTAAGCAGAAATTAAAATATAATTTTGCTATCATAAGTTTGATACTAAATTGCAAAAAAATAAATAAAAAATAAAATGAATAATAATTAAATAAAAAAATTAAAGCAATTGAAGATAATTTTAATTCTGAAATCCGAAAACATTTAACTGACCGATGGTTTTCGTCGGGTAAAATGTTTGTTACTATTTGATTATTGATATCTTAAAAATTAACTTTTGCTTTGTTTTTAAAATATTCCATGCAGTTTTGCTAATAATAGATTGCACTTTTTATTATCAAATACCCATTGTTAAGTATTCATTTTAATAAATGAATTTTTATTTCCTATTTCAATAAAAGTTATAAATGAGGGAACACTTTTGGGAGCCACAGTAATTATAAAAATTTATTGATATATAATCACCTGAAACGGTTTTTATTTACTTAATGAAAATATATTAAACAATACTTAAATAAGATTTTATTGGTCATTCTGTTTTTGCCATTTTGTAGGTACACTTTGAGCAAATACTACTTAAAGTAAAACATTAAAAAAATTTTATTCAATAAAAGCAATATATCCTACAAGCTAAGCATATTATTTTCTCCACGTGTCTTAATTTTTTAAAAATTAATGTTCCAAAACATTAAAAAAGAAAATCTTCTCAAAAAAAAATTTTTTTTTCTTCAAGATATGTTAAAAAAATGACTTTTTGAATAAAATATTTTATAATAACGACATTTTATAATAACGACATTTTTCTTGTACATGTCCTACACTTTATAAGCAAAAAAACAGACCTGGAAATTTTAAAATTTTTACCTGGAAAACCTGGAAATATCAGGGAAATTTGAAATCTGATTTGAGTGGCCACTCTGTCTTCCAAGTCATTCATTTCTTCTAAAATTGCTCTCAGCAGCTTATAAAGCTTAGATACTTATTTCTAGTTTTATCCTGGAGTTTCCTTCTGATTTAGTGTATCCACCTTTAAGTAAATTTAAGTTAAATCAAACTAAATTTAAGTTAATTAAATTTAAGTTAATTCAAACTAAATTTTAAGTTAATTAAATTTAAGTTAAATTAGTTTAACTTAAATTAATTAGTTTATTAGTTTAAATTTAAGTTAATTCAAACTTAAAGTAAATTTTTTCACAATGCGAATTTTAAGTTAGCAGTTTAAAAAATATGTCATTATAATGTAATAAATCAGATATTATATTAAAAGGATAACAAAATTAAGTATTTTCATTGAAATTGTTAATTCTTTTATCCATATTTAACTATACTATTCACTTAATTCAAAGAAATTTGCAATTAAAAAAAATTAACTGATGATTATTATTGCATTGAAGTAATTTTCATGAACAGTTGGTAATAGTTGATTCATGAATAATTGATAAATATCTAAATACCTCTCAGCCTCATTTTTTAAAGATTACCAGTATTAACTGTACGAGTTTCAGAGTTTTTCCTAAGTGTTTTTCAAACAGCGGCTTGTCCTCCCTTTGAAAAACATTTTTAAAAAAAGTAATTCAGTGTTTAAATAATAATTACACAATGGTAAAATTATTTGTGTTTATACAAATATTTATTTTGTTAGGATTGTTCTCAGCTAGTTAAATTTTTAAATTAAGTTTTTTTTTGGGGGGGGGTATGTTAATAAATTTTTTTAGTGATTTTAAATATTAAAGTTATTTTTTTAAAAAATAAGTACGCTTTTTCTTAAAATTCACATTTAAATTTTAGTTTTCTCATAATTTTCTGTTTAAATTATAGATCTCATTTGTAGATTTTAAATTATAGCTTTCATGTCTATCAATAAAAAATTTTAGTTCACTTCTTTTGAAAAAAATTTATGTGCAGCTATTATTAATTTATATATATTATATTATTAATTTATATATATTATATAT